TGAGGCTCTGTCTCAAAAAAAAAAAAAAAAGAAAGAAAAGAAAAACAGGTGAGAACAAGACAAAGACGACTACTATCAATATTTCTGCTTGACGGGGCGGTGCCTGTGGCTCAAGGAGTAGGGCGCCAGCCCCATATACCGGAGGTGGTGGGTTCAAACCCAGCCCTGGCCCAAAAAAACAAAAAAACCCCTGCAAAATAAAAAATAAATAGAAGAATAATTATTAAAAATATATATTTCTGCTTGACCACCCATAAAAGTCCTAGGAAGGACATTAGAACAAAAACAAGGAGTAAGACATAAAGATTAGGGAGAAAAGTAAAACTCCCATGGGTAAGGAGATGCTTTCTGTAGGGAAGGAAATGTCCTAAAATTAGATAAGGATGAGAACTACACACTGAACATGCATTGTGAAAATCTAACTTTTAAAAAAACTCTAAAACTCCATTTTTAAAATCTGCCTTAAAAGAAAGAAAAAGTTGATAAATTCACACTATCAGATATCAAGACTTAATATAAACTTACAGTAGTTAACACAATTGGGTATCAACAAGTGACTAGACAAATGTCCAATGAAAGAGAATGACACATACGTATTCTTACTACATACACAAAACTTGGTTATATCAGAAGCAACACTGAAGTGGTGTTGAGGAAAGAATAGCCCTTTTCCATAAATACTTAAGATAGCAGAAGAAAGAATAGAATAAGTATTAAAAAAAAAAAAAAAGATGGATTAGAAAAAAAAATGCCCAAAATTAACTAAGGAGAGATAAAACAACTGAAACTTTTATCAGTTGTAGTGACAAGATATAACATACAGAACACTGGAGGCTCAAAAAGAGAGAAGATAGACAGAAGGGCAGAAGCAATACTTGGGAGAGTAAATTGGATGAGATTTTTCTAAAGCTAATGGAAGATATTATATAAAAATTGAAGACATCAAGTAAAGATCAAGAAGCAGATTATCCTATAAATATCAATGAAAGCACATGTAGGAACTCCAAAGATAATTCTTAAAAGGGGGAGGGAGACATCCTCTAGATCAGCTTGACAAGAGACCTTAAAATAAGCAATAGTAACAGATACTGTCCTCAGGAATAGTGTAAGAAAATAAAAAGCCAACAGGTTTCCAAAAAAAAGAAAAAGTTCTCAGTG